AACTATAAGGCCAAAGTAATTTCAAAGTTGATATCTTCTAGTTTCTGAAGCCAAGCTTGTAAAACATCTGGCTAAGATGCAGTCATTAGTAGATGTTAACTGAAAGTTTTCCAGTTTTTGTTCTCCTTTTGTGAATTGGCAGCTCATGACTCTTCAGTTAAACCTCCCAGTGCATAAAAGCGGTTATTACTGCAAGCTAAATGAGAACCTGCTGAATAACTTCTATGCAGTGGCGAGAATGCATCTTGATCTAGCAGGGCTTCAGCCTCACTCTTTGAGCTGCTAATGTGGTCCAGCATTTTCTCTGCATTGCTGGTTAAAGACAAGCTAGGTAACGCTAAAGACATAATAGCAGGACTACTTCTGTTGCGATGTTTTCTTTGGATTGGTTGGCCCGGTGCTGGATTGCTGTTTTGCCTCTTGACTCCTAAATGTGAACCTTTGTGGTGTAAGCTGCCAGATTTTGGAGGGTAAGTTTTGGTTGAAGCTGTGGATTTTGGATGATAGTCATCAGCACAGTAACTAGCGTTGGAGTCAAGGTCAGAATAATGATTGAAAGGTTTTTTGGGGATGTCTGGTTTGCACGTGAAAAGGCCCCAAATTGGTTGGTCATGCTGGGTAGCAACAGCTCGAGACGGCTGATCATTTCTTTTTAGCTGGCGAATGATCTCTTCTTTCTCCTGAAGCTCTGACTTGAGTCCAGCCAATCTTTCTTTTAGCTGCTCAGTTAAACTGTTTAACATATTTTCAGTGCTGCTATTCTTTCTTTGGTCTGATGACTTCCTGTGAAGACGCTTCTTTTTTTGGGCTGTGTAGACAGAAAAAAAATGTGTCATTAATAATGTGACATTAATTTACGGATTAACAAGAAGGGAAAGTAAAAGCAACCCAAACTTTTTGTAAAAGAAGACATAATTTTAAAGTGACTTTAGCTGTGAAGCAACAAAATGAAGATTTTTCCCACCAAACATTTGAATCTGAAGGTAATAAAAACATTAAAACACTTATAGGCAACTTTTCACAAGCTTGTCGCCCGTCCTTAACTTCACTGCATAGTTGTACTTTCTTTTTTTCGATTGGTGACAGGTACAGGACCACCACCAAGGGAGGCACTGGGCACCCACCAAAATTGGCTGGCCCCCCAAGTGACCCCCAGCACCAAGAACACAAGTGAACACAAGAGAGGGCAAGACACCCTACAATGAGTTGAAACATTAACTTGTTATTTATTCCTGCATATATCATTTTTGTCACTTTAGATGTCCCTCACTGTTCTGTCTTT